CAAAGAACTTTTGTCAATATATTTTCAAAACAATTTATAGATATAATTAGGAAATGCATTTTACATAACTGTTTACTAAATTTTTAAAAAATAAATAAAGTTTTTTGAATGGATTTCTTTGGACATTCTTTATGTGACTGATAAACAGGTGATTTTCTGGGAAACTTCATTGGCAAATTTAGCAGTTGTCTACTTTTGTTCAGCTGCTACTTGGTATTCTACCTCTTTATAATCTCTCAAGATGTTCTTTTTTGTGTTCGATAACAAATTTCTTCAAATAATTTCAGCAAGATTAGGTTGATTGTTGAATCTTTCTCTTGTGGAATGTAAGACAGAGTACCTGGGCGAACCTTACAACGAATCAAAAAGTGCAAAGCTTTAAAATAGTATCTCAATTAACTTCAGATTAATTATAATAAAAATACATATATAGATTTATACTAATATTTCTTTTTTTTTCTTTCTAATAATATAAAATGTATTAAAATTTGTACTAGAAAATGATTAAATGGGGAGAAGTATCATAAAGCGGTTGAGCTGGTACAATGAGCAATGGTGAGCAAGTGCGAAAATTCATACCAACAGAGGAAAGGTAGAATAAAATTACATATAAAAGTACACAAACATGCAATATAAATAGCAAAAGAAAGCAAAGTAATAATAAGTTAATCTTGCATAATAATTCTAGGATTGAGTATAGCCATAGGCCATCTTATGTTCTGCACATCATTATAATTATAACTGTAAATTTTGAATTCAGTTTTGTTACTATTTCTAATACAGCAATGAACACTTTTAGCAAGATGGTAGTAAAAGGTTCTGAGCTTGACAATGCCAAGCTCCTCATGAATAGTGTTATTATGGATATACCATGATGTGTCAGTAATCTGCTTCAGAACACTGTTCTGGGCAGTTTGCAACTTTTTCCTGTAAGATTTACATGAGTATGCCCAGACCGGACAAGCATAACAGAGCATGGTGTGCAAGATGGACTTATAAATGAGTAATTTGTTATCAATAGATAGATTGCTGTGTTGAGCAATTAGGGGTTTGAATGTAGCTTTATGCATCTGAAACTTCTGGATAACAGAATGTATGTGTGGGTACCGTGTGAGAGAATTTGTGAGGATCATCCCAAGATAAGGGATTTGCTTAACACAGGGGAGAGTTTCTCCATAGAACTACAGATGCTTATTAATGATCTTCCTGGTAAATAATATTGTAAGAGTTTTGTTAGCATTTACCTTAATTTCCCATTTTTGTAGCCAAGTCTCTAATGCATGGATGTGATTTTGGAGGTGTTGTATGACTGGACTACGAATTGCATTCTGAGCAAGGATCGCTATATCATCTGTGTACATTTCAAGTGTAGTGTTGGGTGTGTGAGGAATGTCGTTCATGTAAGTGTTGAGGAGAATGGGCCTCAGTAAGGATCCCTGTGGAACACTAAATGAAGTAGCACGGTGAGTAGAATATGTGTTACAGATGAGAGATTTAATTATGTGTGTAATGTAATTTGTGAAGCCCAGATTATGAATCTTGTTTATGGGTGCATCCATCCAAACTCGGTCGAATGCTTTGGCTATATCTAAGAACAGTCCACCGGTGAATTTTTTTATGATGCATTCCTTCTGAGATGTGTTCAACCACCTGCTATAGTTGAAAGGAGGTCAACAGATGTTTTTCTAAAACCAAACTGATGTAAAATAATATATTATTCCTGTCCAGGTCATCTTACAGTGTTTTAAGGATTGCTGCTACTGTAATTTTACTTAGACCTGAGAATAGGCTAATCGTCCGGTAGGACCCTTACTTGCTAGTGGGCTTTTTGTGAGCTTGAGAATGATTTTAAGTGGAATATCTTGATCATATTGTTAGTTACCAGATCAAGCCCAGGACTCATCTTAGATTTCAAATTCTTGATATAGCCAATAACCTCCGATGGCTGGGTTGGATTAATGTTGTTAGTGAGTGCGTTTGCTGTATAATTGGAGTGAAATTCAGAGTGTTCTGTTGTGTGATGAATGCTGTTAGTGCAAATCTGAGATTCCAGGTGCTCTGCTGAAAGTTCTGCCGTCTCAACTTTGATGTGATGGATCCTGTTGTGTCCTTTAAGGGGTGGAATGTTATTGTATCATTTCCCGTATCTAGAAATATCTCTCTGGGTGGAGTTATCATCAATAGAGAGTGATTTCAGAAAGTTGGTCCTGTCTTATGATTATGAGTTAATAAGAGACCTGATTTCTTCATTCAGTCTATTAAATTGCTGCTTGCCGTATGAATGTCTAGTTTTTTTAAATTGCCTTCTTTAAGCATTGTGTTTTTTAATTGGATTTTTTAGGTCCAAGTTTCCTCGAGGTTTGGAATAGTTAATGGTTCTGCTGGAACATTTCTGAGCATTGTCAAGAGAGTCAGTAAAATTTCTTACCAAACTATTAATGCATTCTCCGAATGTACAGTTGGAAATGTATAATGAGTGTTGTTCAGAGCAACTTAGACCAATCGGTAATAATGGCTCTTTTGACTAATAATATAATATAGTAACTGATATCTAAAATAATTCTGAATGGATTTTGGTCAGAAGGCAGCTCATCCACCAGTTGGTTACCAAGTGTAAGTAGAGTTTCCAAATCAGTGGTGACTAGTGCAGAGATCCGATTTGGAGGGATATTAGTGGAGACAAATGTGTATGTTATATTTGTGTTTGTTTGTAAGTGTGATAGCTGATGTCTCAACAGCATAAAGCTGTGTAATTGTGATGGAGTAATGGGGAATGCAGCCTTTGATAAAAATAGCCGTATCACCCCCTCTAGGATGTCTTGTCCTTGCAAGGGTCGATGGCTTTTGTATATATTATAATTAACAATATACATAGGATGATTCGGGCTAAGCTTGTGTTCTTGTATGAACCTATATCAGAGGAGTACTCTTTTATAGAATCCCAAATTTCATTGATTTTTCAGGATAAACTATTTGCATGCCATGTAATTACACTTAATGATGCATACAAATTAATTGATAATATTTACATTTATATTTGAACCACATACCTCTTCAAACATAGATAAACGCACAAAAAATTTATCTATTAAATTCTCCACTTCCTGTGATTCAGGAAGATGGAGATAAATTTTTTGGATTATATGCATGACAGACAAACCATGAAACATGTTTTCCAATTCATTAATAATTTTTTGAAAGTTTTTCAAAGTTTCCAAAATTACATTAAAAACTGATTGAGTATGCTGTATGCTTTCTAGTGTTGGCAGTATCATTGTTGGGTGCATCATAATTAACGCCATTACTTTTAACATGATTCTTAACTATATTGGCATAGGTAGAATGTTTGTCAAGCGAGCACTTTTGCTAACTTTTAATTTTAGTGACAACACTTTGGGTAGCGAACTTTGGGCATGCACGGCAGTTCCCCATATGTCCTGTTTGGCCACAATTGCAGCATTTCAAAATTTTGAGCCTTTTATGCTGAACAATTTTCAGTCTTGTGTGGCCCTGCACGCTTGACGCAATGCAGTATAAGGCAACAGATGAATGGTTGAACTGCTGACAATTTTGGCATTGTGCAATACCTTTAATTTTGTAAGGCACTATGTTAACATTGAAATACATAACATTTGAGATATCATATATCCTTTCAAAACCCGCATCGTTAACAGTTTGTATTTGATACAGAGGCATTCAGACTTTAGTCTTCAGATTATATATCCTAGCTACATTTTTTATTTTAAACCAGTGATTGCCAAACCATCAATTCCAAGCTACTAGTAGCTCATGGGGACATTTTCAGTAGATCGCATTAACAGTCTGTTTAGCTAACCTTGATTTCTGCAGTAAGCTGATGCTGACGACAAGGGGTACTGACAACAACTACTTGTTGCTTTTGCGGAATTGCCATTGTCAGCTTCATCTCATAGTTGATTGTATACACATGAGGTTGGGTGCATTATGTTCTTTGTGTGTATATTAGATATTTGCTAACTTGGCTAGTTTGATTTATGCATTTTTACTAAGCTAGGTATGTCGTAATGATGTGTGTTCAAGCGAAAAGCAAAAAACTTTACACTTTCATTCGGAATGGGAAACTGATTACTTCTTTACCCAGGTAAAGGACAAATGGGTGTGTTTATTGTCCGAGGCACGCAAATCAATTGGGAAGAATGGGAATGGTGAACATCAATTCAAAACCATTCGCGCAGAGATTGAAAATTTCCCACTGAATTCTGCTTTAAGGAAAGAAAAGGTAAGGTAGCTAAAATTGAAACTTAATATTCAACAATCAACTTTTTAAAAACCATTAAACAAGAATGCAGCAGCAACTGAAGCATCATTTCGATTTTCAAGTATTATTGTTCAGGATAAGAAACCATGTGAAGATGGTGAAGTAATCAAAATTGCCTTTTTAGAAGCTGCAGGTGCATTATTTGATAGAGATGCTTAATATAATCATGCAAGATTTATGGAATTACAACTGCAAACGGTGCATAGTTTTCACGAATTTGTGCAAGGTAAATGCGAAGTTCTCCACAAAGATAAAAGTACTACAGACCTTTTTTAGGAGCATATATGGAGTTATGGTAATTCTCTGGGGTAAAAATTCCTTTAAAATTTCTTTCTTGCTCCTTCTGACATTACCAACAAGTTTGCATATGTTTTTCTCCAACAGTTCTAAAGCTGAAGGAAGACTGATAAACCAATTCTATATAATGTATATGTAATATTACAGCTATTCTTACTAATTGGAGCTATAAGTCTTTCAGCAACATTGGATTATTTTGAAATGCCCACTAGACTGTTGTTCAACATGTGAGCTGTAAATGTGCTTTTAAATCATCATTTAAATATTCTGAAGCCTATTTATTTTTCCTGCCTGTTTTACTTTGTTTTCATAATCATAACTTTGATTTATGTTTTAGTATTTTTATTTTCTTATTCATGCATTTTGCATTTGTTTGTGTTGTTTATTTATTGTGTTCATTTTATAGAAGCTGTTACATTTTCCCCTGGACAAATAAGATATGTTTGAATCATTTGCAAGCTGTCTGTGATTCTCCATCTGTACCAGAATTAGAAAATGTTTGTTCATATATTTACCTTCCTGAAAATTATGGTATGTTTTACTAATTTTTTTATTAAATAGCAAAAAATTTTCCTTTCATGAAATGTTAGGCCCTCCATGAAGGCATGCTTTTGCTTAAAGGGGTAGCCTGAAGGTTAAAGAGAAAGGCTACTTTATTCCTTTAAAGGACTCCTTAGTGATGTAGTGCTTCTAGGGGAAGTTGACAGGAAGTAGTCTAGTCTGATGTCATTATGTCACCGGATTTCATGCATTTTCTATTCTGCTGTGAAATAATATTCTAGTGGTGTGGACATCTCAAATTAATTCTAAACATATATAAGTGTTTTCTGGTTATGTAAATATTTTAAAAAAATGTATGTTTTGCTTTATTCAGCTTTTCTTTTAAGTTCTCTGTTGTAAATTATCATTCATGTAATATATCTTCTTGTGCTCTAGCAGCATGCCATAACACTCATAGAAATAAGAAAGGAAGGGATATTGCTTTCTCAAAAGACAGTTTGCTTTTGATGAAAGAATGGATGCATTAATGTCAAAGACAATGCTACATGAATGTGAAGAACATAATAATTTTCAACAAACATTTACTATGCAGTGATTATGAAGAGGGAGGGAAAATTGTTTGTTTGAGATGCCACAAAAGAAACTAAACTGCAGTGCTGTAGTGAATCTGCAATGAACAAAAGGAGAAATAACACAAATTGTTGGAGACAAGTGAAAAGTAATGCAGAGCATTTTTGAAAGACTACATGAATTAAGTCCAAAGAAAATTCATTTTGAAGCTGAATACTATAAAATAAAGAGGGTGCATTTAAAATTATTTAAACTATTTATTTATATGCTTAGAATATTATATATTACAAAGCACTGCAATACTGACAAAGTTCTGTTTTTACATGCATCCAAACTGTCTAGAATCAGAATCGTCACTTTTGGCACTAACTACCTAAGAGTTTTATCCATTAATTCAAAGTGCACCTAAAATAGGTTGCACTAATTCGCTTTTATTTTTATTTGAATCAGGGGTGCATTAGCACCGTCCCCCCAGGCAAAATTCTGGTCAGAAGGTATAGGGAATTCTGGAGAAGGTATAGGGAATTCCATTAATTCAATCAATTTGTTTCAGTAATTAGTTATAAGTGCAATTATAGCGTAACTTAGAGATGGTGTGTGACGTACGATGAGCATTCAATGCAGAATGGCTAGAGCAGAGATAACGTGAGAGTGCATTCGTAAAGGCATGTGACTTAGAGCTGCACTGTGGATCGAATTCAAGTAATTACAATTACACAGAAATATCCGCATAAATACATTAATTAGTTAGAAATCCTTTATTAGGATGAGTTCGTTGAAGATAAATCTTCATATAAAAGTCAATTCGCATTAGTAAATACTATACATGAGCTAAATATGACTTGGAATGTAAAACTGGGTGTGTAGTATCCAAACTGTTGCCCCATTTACAAATTGCTAAATGTTACAATAGTGATAACAAAAATAAATCAGATGTGAATGATTTTGAAATAGAACTAAAAAATGATGATATAAATATCTCTGGAATGTGCAAACTGTACAAGCAAACAAGGATGCATTGTAATTATGAAAGGCGAAAATAATGTCCTTAGAAAGTTATATTGAAAAAGGGAAAAACAAAAAATTATAGAATGTTTGCTTAATGATCTATTACAGAAAAAATATAGATGCACCTAGAACTTTTTTTTTTTTTTTATCAGAAGCTCAAAAATTAAAATCTCGAATTGCAAAATTTAAAGAAGCTCAAATCAGAGAATTTGGAAAAATGGCTAATCCTCCTGAATCTCTATTTAAAACAGTCGTACTAATATCAACATTTGAAACAGTTCCATCATCTAGAATAAATCCTTTACCCAAAAAATAATTGCTCAGTAATTTAAGACAGTGTGCCGTATCTACAAAAACCATATTTTTTACATTTTCAGAAAACAGTTTGGATGGAAGAAGTTGTGTTCATGCTTTAAAGATACTCTTCCGAAGATGTCATGACCTCAGAGTAAAAGAAGCTGTAGAGGGAATATCCAAGAAACATTGAGCTGCCTAGAAATGCAGGATAGCTAAAACTAATCTTACATGTAATATGGTGCATGCTTCAAGACTGCTCATCACAAAATCTTTAGACCATCTAGCAGTCTCCTATGCTGGCAATAATAGCATGCAAATAGTGCATTTCATCTTAGATATTATTTTCTAGCACATCGGACCCTAATTTATACAGCGGTGCTCAGATGAAAATTTTTACAAACATCACGCAATACTACATAATGACTGTAGCAAACACAGAGCTATCCCAGCATACAAGAAAGGACCTTACAAAGCCATAATCAGAAGGCTCAATCTGAATAAAACACTTGGATCAGATGGGCTTAATAAAGAAGCATATTATACACACTAAGCATTGCTTCTTCATGCATAAAAACGTGCTGGAGAATTTGACAACTAAAAGTGAACTAAAAGTCACAGAAATCACCCTATTCTTAAAACGTAACAAGACCCAAATGAGGTAACCTCATATAGGCCATTCTGCCTTCTCCCAGCCATGGAGAAAATCCTAGAATGACAATTCCTGCAGAGACTTAATTTTCATAGTTATAGAAACAAGATCTTAGGTGACAGGAAATATGGTAACATAACCCAGAAAATCAGCTGACCATCAGCTGAATAACCCTTGGAACACAATGCATGGCAACAAGCAGAATAATATGCATATTTTGATCATCATCATCAATTTCCAAAGCGCTTTCAATTCATTGTGCTCTGCATTTTCGATGATAATGGGAATACGGAAATTACTGCTTATGCTAGTGGCTTTTGGCTGATTCTTATAGGACCTAGCTGAAATGGATATGAAACGAATCCTCAGAAGGCATTAAATAAGACTGTCCAATGGGCAAGCAAACACAAACTCACATTTTCTAAAATCAAAACCAATTAACCTTTTACTGATCTGATTGTAGCCCAGTAAAAAGCATGAGCATACACCTTGTGTAAAACTGCATGACAGAAACACTCAATTTGTTGGTCAGTTTTGCTACTTGTGTGTGACTATCAATGAAATTTTCTAGCTTTGTCATATCGAAGACATTTAGAAAGACTTCATAAGATTTCAAATACTAGGCAAGGAACTGCAGCTGTTAGTTGGGGGTGTCTCCTCACAGATGCTCAAAATATGGTACTACATGCTCACTGAGCATATAAATGTTCGTGGCACTTCTGTGTGGGGTGTTGATTTAACCAAAATGATGCAGTTGGCTTTGAGTTTAGCACAGGCCATTTCTGTAGAGCATCTGCCAAGTATTTAGAACCTCACCAACCAGCACCTTAAATATTTTAGCAGGAATCTCATCATTATACCTGGCTTTACAATGAGAGAGTGCCATTGTGAGAGTAGTCAGGTTGAAGGAAAATGTAGTATTGTGGAATATGGTGTATACTGCATACAAAAAAAAAAAAATAATAACGTTTTGCGTGCTACCTTTATTTATTAAATATCATGTTGTACATAATCAAACTATAAAATTCAGTTCAACAGCAATGTCGCAAATTAATTTTAAAATGAGCATATCTTTAGAATTTCCGATAGAGTCTCATGTGCTGGAGATAAAAATCTTTTACAAAATCTGAAATCTGAAAATTTTTTTGGCCGTTTTTTAGTGTTGTCCCTGACTATTGTTTTTGTTTTGCGATTTTGCTTTGAAAACTGTAAAAGGCTGTGTCACTTTTCAAATCTTTGCCACCAAATACTATTGCCCTGTATTATATTTGTAGAAAGATTCAGATTTTTATGGAGTTTTTATTATTTATTTGTTTATATTGTTTTTGAATGCATGCTGTTGGCGAATGTTGCAGTAGTCGTGTAGAATAAAGAAGAATGATCTGTGTTTTTTTTATTTGAAATGCATAGAATTCTCTAAAATAGCATTATTAGATTAAATGTTGTCTAAGCAGTTGCAATGATATTTTAATTTTATTACCATATCAAATACAGTTTCCTTTTAATTTAAATAACTTCGTCAGCGGTCTGAAGCACCTTTTCGAATCATAAGATGATTTTTAATAAAATTTGTAGTAGTCCCAATTTTTATAAATATTCAGAATAACAGAAATAATAAAAGCTAACCTTTCCAAAATTTCTGTGTCAAAGTATTACATCTTAGGTCAGCAAGACCTGATTAATAAAATCTGGGAAAGGATCTAAGGTTCATAGATCTAAGCAGTAAAAAAAAAAAAAAAAAATGCTTGTCGCGCTATAGAAAATTCTCACGTGTGATGGAAAAGATTTTCCAAGAGATTAATATTTTAGCACAAACATGATTTTTTAAATTTAATCTCTAGTATTGGAGATGGTTTTCAAGCATTTTACCATAATTTTATTTTCAAATGTGCAGAATTTTTATATTTTTTATTGTGATCTCTGTATTTTTAACTTCCAAAGCATAAGTTAAAGAAATGCGCATAGCAACTTCAGCCATAAACCAATCACTTAAGAGAAATTTGTTTTGACGTGTTATGTGAAAGACTAAATAAATATTAAATGATTTTGTATTTATGTTACATGACAGTGAAGTAATTAGAAAAGAATAACTGTAGATGTGTAAAAAAACCTGTACTTATAACCTTCTGTATTTTCAAAGAAAAGTACAAAATGGTTCAGAATAGCAGATGTCTTTAAAATCATTCAGTAATGTCATCGTAAATATAGTCTATAATCACATTTTGGAAGAACTGCAGTTCAGATTTGTGGTAAAAGAGTGGCATACTTGCAGAATGGGAAAACAAGCTTTGAAGCATATTCATACAAAAGTCGTTCCTCTTCTCCACAGATAAATGACACATGTGATAATTTGAACACATGCTTTCAATCAGTTGTTTCCATCTAATAAAGCGTTTTTGGGCTGCTAGCAGGATCCTAGCAAACTCTTTTAACAGTCTCTTGTTTTAAATATGCTGTGTTTGAACTTAAATTCAAATATATGCATTTAAAAAATTTATTAATGCTT